TGACAAGAAAGTATTCAGGGTATCCATGGTAAAGAAGGCAGAGTCTTAACATAAATACCTTGTCAGTCTGTTTTCTCTCTGAAAATGGTTCTTTGAGAATTTGGAAGTACTTAGTGCAGATGATGATTTGTTTTGTATTGGTTATTCAGTTACAAGCAGCATTTCCAGGAACAAAATATTGTTCTTTTGGAGTGGACTATTAATGCCTGTCATAATGAATAAGTCTTTAAAACATAATCTCTTTAGGGGCAGGTTTCTGATTGTCTCATTTGCCATTATAGTCCCAGCAGCTAGAACAGTGCCTGGCAGGCACATAGGAGGTCCTCAAATATTTTTGATAACCAATTAACTGGCTTAATGACTAGTTAGTGGATATTGTAAGTACAGGCTAAGTCAGTGGTTCTCAACTGTTTATCCACCCCAACTTACTCATGGGTTACACCTTGCTCCCACTGTTACTCTGACTTAACTACAGGAGGTTGCTGGTGTTCAGGGAAGGGAGTGTATTTCAGAATCTCTAGGGCAGTTTGAAATGTCCCCAGCTGTGATTATGCTCTGCTTCCTTCTTTGAGGATCAGTGAGTGAGGTACAGCATGCCACAGTCGAAAAGTCATTTCGTCTATACTCTGCAATAGGACGGGTAGTGATGATCATATTTTCATTGAACACCTAACTGTACAAATTAATAGAGAGGAACAGATCATGTTAAAAAAAAGTATTCTTTTAACATTAAGTATCAGGTTGTTTTGGTCTCCCCTTATCTTGTTCAGTGAGTTTTGTGCATGATATTCCATAAAATAACCTCACAGATTGCTTCTCTATCTAAAAGTTCTTCTGTTTTCTCTTATAGCCGGATGCGTAGTGATGGTTTTGATGAAGAAAGTCAAAGAGACTATTGGAGGCCAAAGAATGAAATTTCTGGGGCACTGGATGATGATTTTCTTAAGGCTAAATCCTGGAACAAGAAGTTACATGATTATGAAGCTAACATGCCAGACAGGTTTGTGACTAAATTCCTGTGACCATTAATGGTATTTGGCCTGAGAATGTGTACTTTTAAAAATTAATTATCTCTGCAAAAGCTTATACAGAAATGTTCATAGCATATTTATTCATAATGGCCAAAAAAGTGGAAACCCAAATGTCTGTCAACTGATAAATGGATAAAAAAATGTGGTATATGGGATGTTAATAGAATGTTATTTGGCAGTAAAAATAAAGTACTGATACATGCTACAACATGTATGAACCTTGAAAACATTATGCTGCGTGAGAAAAGCAGACACAAAAGGTCACTCATGATGATTCTATAGAGATAGAAAGAAGATTAGTGATTGCCATGGGCTACGGGAGATGGAGGAATGGAGCGACTGCTAATGGATTGTTTCTTTTGGGGGTGATGAAAATGTTCTGAAATTAGTGGTGATGGTGGCACAACTCTGAAAATACTAAAAGCCACTGAAATGTACACTTTAAAAGGGTGAATTTTATGGTATATGAATTATATCTCAATAAAGTTGTTACTTAAAAAAAGTTGTCCCAAGGTAGACAGCATTATGTTATGAAGTGTTTTTGGAGAAGTACTTCACAGCTGAAGAGTAGAATATAAAAGTCCCTTAGTGTTTCTTAAGAAAGAAAATGTCAAGTTTTCTTACAAATGGACAAAGGAATCCTTTGTGTCTGAAATGAGCGTTCAGTACAGAAAATGTAACCAAGTTACCGAGCTATAAATGTGGTGTTGGCTCTACCATATCTTTTTTCTTGGTTCTGTGTGTCTCTGTATATGTACACTCCTAAGTCTAATTTGTCTTTAATTGTTAAGAAATGTATGCATTGCTTTAACAATACATGTAATAAAATGTTATTTTACAGATGGGGTCACAGTGGATATAAAGAGTTATACCCTGAAGAATTTGAAACAGACAGGTAAGGCAAGTACACTTACTGAAAAAAAGTTAGAAAGTAAGATTAGTACACAGTCTGAATTATAAATTGAGTTCTTAATTTTTTTTAAAGAGTGGATATATGTATATGTATAAATGATTTACAAACTCACTTTAGTATTTATTTATTTAGGCTGCACTGGGTCTTAGTTGAGGCAGGTGGGATCTTCGTTGCGGCATGTTTAGTTGCAGCAAGCAGACTCTTAGTTGCAGCTTGCGGACTTCTTAGTTGCAGCATGTGGACTTCTTAGTTGCAGCATGCATGTGGGATCCAGTTCCCCAACCAGGGACTGAACCCGGGCCCCCTGCATTGGGAGCTCGGAGTCTTACCCACTGGACCACCAGGGAAGTCCCGAGTTAATAATTTTTATAAAGTATACAACATTTGCCATTAAAAATGTAACCAGAGAAATAATAGATTTAGTTGAGAGATGATTGGTATTTTGCCTTTCCCTGATATTTGGCATTATCTACAGCATGTAGGTTTTTTTATATATAGTGTTCCATACAGTAACTCAGTATGGCAGATTAGAATTTTTATCTTCATTTTAAAGATGAGGAAACAAAAACTCAGTGATAAAGTCTCATAGTAACATTATATCAGTTTTGATTTAAAATTCAGATGTTAACCCCAACTTCCCATCTAGAAAGCAGAATATAAAAATTATATAAATATACTTATTTTCTATAGTAAAGCAATTTTTCTTTTTTATTAGTAGTGATCAGCAAGATATTACCAATGGGAAGAAAACATCTCCCCAGGTAAAGTCATCTACCCATGAATCTCACAAACACAAGAAGTCAAAGAAATCCCACAAAAAAAAGCAGAAAAAAAAGTCACACAAAAAACAGAAGAAAAGCAAAAAGGAAGCCACAGATATAACAGCAGATTCCTCAAGTGAGTTCTCAGAAGAAACGGGGGCTTCTAGTACCAGGAAAAGGAAACAACCACATAAGCGCAAGAAAAAATCCAGGAAAAAATCTCTCAAGAAATCTGCTTTATTCTTAGAGGCAGAGTGTGACACTTCCCAGTCAGATGATTCTGCATCCAGCAGTTCTGAGGAAAGTGAGGAAAGAGACACTAAGAAAACCAAAAGGAAAAAGAGAGATAAAAAAGCCCACATCCCTGTAGTTAACAGTGAAATACAGGAGAGGACAAACAAACGCACAAATTGGAAAGTGGCTACAGATGAAAGGTCTGCCGAGAGTTCAGAGGATGACTAAATGAGAAAGAAACATGTTTCCTGCATGACTTTGGATATTTACAGCTCTTACACCTTGGGGATTTGCCAGTGACTCTATTGCTCAGCACAGGGGGCCTGAGGTCAGAGCTGTCCTGTGCCATCTATATACATTCTGACAGACTTCTTGTCTTCTCTTTTGGCCTGTTAAACTTGATCCTCTTATTGTTAATAGGGAGTCGGTTATTTTGTTATGAAGGTTTCTTGAAGAGATTATTTTTTTGTGATTAATCACATTTAGCGTAGAGTGCATATGCAGCAAATTAAAGGACCCAGAAAGCTGAATCCAGTAATGACCTGGGTATACCAATTGGAATGTTGAATTTGGGGAAAGCAAGGGCTGGGGTCAAGAGATGGATTGGAACTAGTGCTGTATACAATGGTATGATAAGGGAACATCGGGTTGCTCTTGTCTGTTTACATAGTAGGTGCCACAACTTGACTTTTTTTGTCTTTAGTGTTGGTGCTTTGATCTTTCTGTATTTTGACCCCACAGGTGTGGTCCAGTTTACTTGATGAGGAAATGAACATAAGAACAAACATTTTCCATTCATGATAACATCCATAGACAGCTGTTATTGGGAGACTACGAGTTTTTGACAAATTTCCCTGTTGGACAGGGTCTGTGGCTATACTCAGTATACCCCTAAACATGGTAATTGGATAGTAAAAGGTTTTCTAGTTCCATTGTTTATTGCTTAAATGCACTTGTGTACAGAATTATTTCTTCAGTTCTCTTAGATAAGTCCTCAACCAAATGAGGAAGAATTAGGCATTAGTTGTGCTAATGGTGCTCTGAACAGGATTCAGGGCTGCAACAGCTATTTAAGTGTTGTCTTCCTTGTTCATTTCTTAATCTGTTAATGAACTTTAGATTTTTCCTGAAACTAGGTTGAATCAGTTCCAAAATGAAATAGGCTTCTCAGGGACATATCCATTTCTTCCTAGTCTGCCTTTGGATTAAAGCACCAAGCAGAGACCTTGTTATTTCCCTTTGCTATATACTGTGATCCCTACTATGTTAATTCTTAAGAAACCAAAATATCACTGGAAGAAGGCTGGCAGAACACATGAATTATTCATTAAGGCAGATCAAGTGACATTGTTTTTTCTTGGTCGTCACTTCATGGGTGAAGTAAAGCTTGAAGGCGCAGACTTTTGGTCTTGGTCTGCCATTCATTGGTTATGAGGTCCAGAGCAGGTAAGTCAACCTCCCCGGCCTTACTTTCCCTATGTGTAATACAGAAATACTTCATGGTAGCATGACTGTACAACACCAGCAATAGACTATAACAACATTCCATGAGGTGGTAATATTTTGTAGTTCTTAACTATTAAATTTGTTCTCTTTACAGAACAGATTTCTAATAAAATGCTTAGTCATAAAATACATGGTTGGCCAGAGGTTCCCTATCCCTTGATTATAAGCAGGTGCTACTTTTTGGGATATTTATTTGAAATATTAATACTTTGGTACTCAATTGTTGATGTCCCATGGTGTATATTTTTACCTTTGGGATTATTAGTGGCCCAAGCAGGGAGGAATAGTCTATATAATTACTACCTCTTAACCTAACGCCATTGTTTTGTTCTTGGAGCAAGTGAAATCTTCGTGGGAAGGAGTTTTCTACATGGATTTTTTTTTTTTTTAGCATTGTTTCTGTGCTATTAAAGTACTGATTCTAAGCACAGACTCAGGAAGATGGGCCATTGGAACAAGGCTTCTCCAGGAAGTTGGTTCTGTTTGGGTCTTGACCTTCCCTTCCTCTCATACTACCAGGCCTCTTCCCAATGAATACACATTTTGCCTGTTCTGTTTTTTGCCATGTTTACCTTTTCTTGGTCCTGTATAAGCAATAAAGCTGTTTTCTGTTCTTCACCTTTCTCAACCCCAATTCTCTTCTATGCCTTAGGGTAAGGCTTTGATGGTTCTTCCAGCCCCCTTAAATATGGCTTAGGGTGGCTCTTCAAAACCTAAGATCTCTCATTTGCACTACTGGCCTTGGAACATATTTGTTTCTAATGTTCCTGCCAATCAGAGATCTATATATTAAACCCTAAAATAGATTAAAAAAAAAAAAGTTGGAGAATTCACATTTATTGAATAATTGTTGTGATACAAGATGGAATTTCTGAATTCCCAATAAATAAATTTCACTTTTTGAACATTTGATCTCTTACTTTTTAGCACCAACAGGCTTGGTAACAGCCTGAAGTTAACCTGACAGTGGGTTGACAACCTTCCCCTGCTGGCCCTTCAACCTGCTTAATAATAAGTCCTTTGCTTCTTCAGTCATTCTCCCACAGGATGGCCTACTGCCCTCCCTTCTGTACAATCTGGGCAAACCGACTGGTGATAGCAAGAGTAGTGTCAATGAAGCGGTCCACACAGCTAGAGAGACAATTTTCAGTGCGAGAGTCTAGGCGATTCCCTGGCTTCTCCACACATTTATCCCAACATAACTCCATGAAGTGATGCACCTAAGAAGAAAGAAAAATAGTAACCACTTGGGGTCTGCAGACAGGCCTAACTCTATGAATTTTCATATTTCCTTCCCATTTTTCTAATTTTCTGTCACCTGACTAAACTATTCTTTGACTCTCTCTCCTCTCTTCTAATTTGTCACCAATATGGCCCAACTCCTCATCCCTACATTGAAACAATCCTTTTATTCTCTCCTTTTCTATTTTTCTTAGTAATTAAAAAAATATGTACTTTCCATCAAGTCACCCTAATGCATCAGTTTCTCTCTTAGCCACTGAGGGCACTCCCTTATTTAACACCCAACCCATCTGTTTCAATGAGGTCCACACACAGTATACTCAACTTGACTCAATACTCCTCCCTAAAGATTTTTCCACAGTTTAAATTATTACCTCCTTGAGAGCACTGCCTATTATTTTCTTATGTCACTTCCTTAATCAGATAGAAAATCTCAGGCAAGATTAATACCTTCTTTTATATTTCCAAACTAGCACCAGTGTAAGCTGGGAGGCTATGGTACCAATTAATTACCCCAAACCACTGCACTCATCTCATTCTAAACCTATTCTTAAGTAGTTCTTAACCTTTTTGGGGTCATGGACATATCTAAGAGTCCGATGAAGGTTACGGGCCCAATCTACAGAAAAATGCACACACAGGCACAGAAAATGTGGGCACTTTCATAATGTTCTGCACCGAAAGATTTCTAACCAGGGTTCTTGCTACTTATATTCAGCGAACTCTCCCCTTCCCACCCCCACCCCCCTCCTCCCAACACGGCGGAATAACCATTTACCAAGGGCTTAACTATTTTGGGAGGCTGGGTACTAAGCAGTCAATCCTTTCTGCGGTCCTAAAAGATGACTATCACCTCCGTTTAAGAGGCACGGTTAAGTAATTAGGTTTAGGGTTAGTCATGCAGCTAGAAAGGGGCAACGCCGAGGTTGGAACCATGCTCCAAAACTCTTGTTCTAAACTAACAGTCTAGACCGACTACTTCAGAGCCCACCTTTATCCAATAATGCTCTACTGGTCTATCGTTTTCCAATACATTATTGCATATGATCCTCGATATCCAGTGAGGCAGCGGGCGACTGCGAAACCAAGATTTATAGTGGACGGGCGTTTTGTCTAGGGACACGTGACACCTGTAAGGGGCAGAGGCAAGCTTAGAACCGGAATCTTCCGAATGCCAGCCCAGAGAGCTCACCGCCAAGCTAGGCTCCCGTGCCTTTGTGTCGTCCGAGCCTTTCTTCGCTTTACACCTTCTCTTTCCCCCCACTATAGGCTTGCTTAGAGGGTACCTGAGCACTACGGGTCACCAGCGGCATGAGTGACTCGTTTCTTTTGTGAGCAGAACCGGGCGCAGCAGGCACGGAGCATAGGGCGGCCGCACCGCCACCGTTCAGAGCTCCGCGGGTGCCCGAAACCTGTACTTCACCCTCTTTTCTCTTCACACTGGTCCCTGTCCCCGCACCTGTGCAGTGAACTGCGCCTTCTGCTGTTCCGCCGCCACCAGGCGCTGCAACTCCGCTTCATCCGCCTCACCCAGCTCCGCCATTGCCTGCGTCGAGCTCGGGACCTTCCGACGAGCTCTGTGCGCATGTGCGGCGGGACCGAGCCAACTCCGACTTCCGGTTCACCCGGCGTTTTCCTTTTCCTCGTTTTCTTTCGTCGTTGCGGGGTGGATGTTGTCATATGACTGCTTCCGGGTTGCTGGATGACCTTGAGTCTTCCCGAGCGACATGGCGACTCTCTGGAGGCTGAGTGTCCTCTGCGGTGCTGGAGGTGGGCGAGGTGAGGATCCTGGCAGCCGGAGGTGCTTAGCACAACCTCCAGCCGGGGAAGGGAATGCGGTGAGACCTTTTGAGCGGGGGTGGGGTGGGGTGGGGCGGGGGTGTCCCTCCTCCTTCCCTTTGGCAGCTCTGGCTCCTGCCGAAACCACAGCATCACCAGCGTTGCCTGCGGTCCCAGATGTTTACCCGAGGGCATATCTCCCCTGCTCTGGGCTGACGTGGTGATGGGGTAACTTGAAAGTTATAGTCTTGTAGAGGCTATTCACATGAGTTCCCTTTTTCTCTCCATTCGCTGTTTTTAGAGTGCTCCCTCCCTGAATCGCAAGAGTGTCAGGGTCAAAGTCCCAATCTACGTCTTGCCTATTTCCCTTGGAGTTCAGTTCGATAATTATAGAAGTGGGCATTTGTGTTATACCAGGCACTGTAGTATGGTTGGGTTACAAATGTGAAAAAACAGCTCCAGACCTCAAAGAATTTTTGTTTTTGTAGAGAAAACACATATAAGCATAATGTAACATAAAGTGAAAACTGTGCAGTAAGTAAATTGTATGCCAGTCCAGAGGAAGAATATATTAGCTATGTGTTTTGGAAGGATCACCCTGTCTGGGTTCTTGAAGGAGGTGTGCTTGATTTGAGTGTTGAGGGTAAGGAAGGCCACAGGAAGAAGGGCATTACAGTTAGGGCTACTGGGATGAGCAAAAGAATGATGAAAGTGTAGAAACTGCTTGTTATGAAAGAAAACAAAACAAATCAGATATTAGAGTTTGAAGCTGAAGATGAGGAATGAGATGGTTCTGGAAAGGTGAACTGAAATCAAATCACAGAAGAACTTGTCTTGATTTGGAGTATGCATTTTACTTCGTGTGAAGGGGAGCCCTTGAAAGGTTTGACATAGATTTGCAGTTTACATTGACCACTTTGGTAACAATGTGGTAGATGGCCATCATGGGAAATGGGACAGGCTAAGACATAAGTCAGGGAGATGAGTTGAGACACTGTTGTAGCCGTGTTGGCAAGGATGGTGAGGTCCTGAACTTGGAAAGTTGTACATAAGAGAAGATTGTCTCAGGAAATGTTAGGAGATACATCAGTGTGATTTGGCATTTGACTGAATTTAGAGGGAACGTCCTACATGACTTCCAGATCTCTGGGTAAAGTGAAAGAGTGGCTGGGATGTCATTAAATAAAGTGGTAAGCATGTAGATGGGAGGCAAGTTTAAATGAGAAAGTGAGTTGAAGGGTGATTTTAGTTTTTGCCATGGTAAGTTTGAGGACCATGTTGGGTATCTCAGGGGAGAGGCCTTCTAGGCACTTAAACTTCTGAAAATCTGGAGAGATATCAGGCCTGGGGATACAGAGCTGGGTTTCATCAGCTTAAAGGCACTAGAAGTTGAGTGGACAAAATGTCTAGGGGTGGGCATAGGAAGCAAGGAGAGCAATGGGCAGATGATGGAATCCTGGGCAAACATTTAAGAGCGACTGCAGAGGAGAGGATCAAAAGGAGAAGTAGAAGAGAGTTCTTTCAGAGAAGAGAACGGAGGAGAGGCCACCAGTGCCACGTGATGCAGAAAGCCCAATAAGATGAAGACTCAACAGTGTCTGTTGGATGTGGTCACAGGAGACCATTGGTGACTTACTAAAGCAGCTTTGGTGGGGATAAAGACGAGTTTCAGAGTTGAAGAATAATAAGGAAATGAGGAAGTTGAGGTGATTTAGACAACACTTTAAAGAAGCATGTTTGGAAAGTGAAGAAAGGGAGCAGGGGAAGAGTGCATGGGCATTCGAGGACATAGGATCAAGGGAAGGGTTAATTATATTACATCAGTTGAGGGAAAATGGTCAATAGGAAGGAAGGAGAGGTTAAAGATACAGGAGAGAAATTACGTTTTATTGAGTGCTTATAACATTCTGGGAATTATGCTGAGCATTTTACATATATTTTAAAATTTTCAACAGTATTATGAAGTAAATACCAGTATTTTCATTTTACAAAAGAGAGGACATTGACTCTTGGAGAGTCTATTTTACTTAATTGCTCATCGTCTCACAGCAGCATTGGTAGGGTTGGGTGTACCTAGGTCTGCCTATTTTTAAACCAAGAGACAAGATCTAAAAGAGGACAGAAAGGGATGGGTTCAAGAGTGCAAGCAGAGAAATTGATCTTGAAAAGGAAGATGGTATTTCCCAAACTAGATTGAATTCCCTGAAGACAAAGACTTTGTCTTTTATCTCTCTTGCTCTAGTGGAGAGCATAATCTTGCATGTATTAAATGTTTGTTGGATGAATAGATGAATACATGGGAGAAGGAGCTATAAGTTATTTTTTTAAATTAGTCAAAGTGAAGCCCTTTTATGTAAGTGTTCATTGATTTTTCAGTATTTCCATGGCTACTTAGTCTAATCTCATAGCAACCCAGTGAAATAGATGCTATCCTCATTTTACAGATGAGTTGGTCATTCCCTGTTTGGGGTTAAATCGCTTGCCTATGGTCATTTAGAAAGTCTGTCAATCTTGTTAAAGGAGAGGTGCTTATGATCCCCCTTATATCTCTTTCCTTAGCTCTCTTCCTCCGAACCCCAGTGGTCAGACCGGCTCATGTCTCAGCATTTCTCCAGGACCGATCAACCCCAGGATGGTGTGGAATACAGCACATTCACCTGTCACCCAGCCACCATTGTATGTCCATCTTCATCTGGGCTGATTATCATGCCTTTGGCAGGACTTGCTGTCTCTGAGAGGAACAATTGTGTCCAACTCTGTCGAATGAAGACCTACCCTACACCTGGGCACACAATGCTAGCATGGTTGAATCATACCATTTACACTCATATAGAAACTTCTGGTCTAAGTCTTCGTAAATTTTTAAATTGTTTAAAAAGAAAATAGTTCTGTAGGAAGAGTCTGTTCAATATAGTTTAGTTACTTTTATTTATGTAGCTAATGGAGAGGAGCCAGATCCAAATAATTTGGAATAGTAGACAGTTATAAAAATCATGCATATTTATAGCTGTAATTGACATGCTTATTTTTATTTAGGTTGATATTAAAATCATGGCATTTCTTGGATAAATACTGTTTAGGTATTAAATCTTAGAAATTCTGTAGGTGAATAACAAGTTAACTATATTTGCATTTTTAAAGTCTAGAAAGATCAGTATTTTACAGAGAAGACTTCTTTTGATTCTTAAGTCTACCAGTTATAATTGCATCTGAGTTATGCGTAATTAGGCAAGTATAGTTTTCCTGCTTTTTAGAATTATGTTATCTTTGAAAAGTTTTTGTTTCTGAACTTTGTTCAGTTAGATTTAGCAGAGTGGTTTTAACTTGGGGTGCATGGGACTAAAGGAAGGTTCCCCAAAGTTGTATACACAGTCTTTATTTTTAAAATTTATTTATTTATTTATTTATTTATTTATGGCTGCATTGGGTCTTCTTTGCTGCACACAGGCTTTCTCTAGTTGTGGCGAGCAGGGGCTAGTCTTCATTGTGGTGTGCGGTCTTCTCATTGAGGTGGCTTCTCTTGTTGTGGAGCACGGGCTCTAGGCACGTGGGCTCAGTAGTTGTGGCTTGTGGCTCTAGAGCGCATGCTCAGTAGTTATGGCGCCCAGGCTTAGTTGCTCTGCAGCATGTGGGATCTTCCTGGACCAGGGCTCAAATCCGTGTCACCTGCATTGGCAGGCAGATTCTTAACCACTGCGCCACCAGGGAAGTCCCTACACAGTTTTGTTTTTTTTTTTAATTTTTTGGCCACGCTGTGCAGCATGTGGGATCTTAGTTCCCTGACCACGGATCAAACCTGCACCCGCTGCATTGGGAGCACAGAGTCTTAAGCACTGGACTGCCAGGGAAGTCCCCCTACACAGTTTTTAATGTGTGTATCTATGTGCGTTTTTCCAGGAAGTAGCTCCATCCTTTTATTAGATTCCCAATGGGGTGTGTAACCAAAAAAAGGTAGAGGCTCTCAAAGAGATGTTTAAAGCCCATTTTATTTTCACTTGTTTAAAAGAAGTTTTCAGGGACTTCCCTGGTGGTCCAGTGGTTAGGAATCCATCTGCCAGTGCAGGGGATACGGGTTCGAGCCCTGGTCCAGGAAGATCCCGTATGCCGCGGAACAGCTGAGCCTGTGAGCCACAACTGCTGAAGCCTGTGCACCTAGAGCCCGTGCTCCGCAACAAGAGAAACCACCACAGTATGAAGCCTGCACACCGCAACGAAGAGTGGTCCCTGCTCACCGCAACTTGGATGAGAGGGCCTGTGCACAGCAATGAAAACCCAATGTAGCCAAAAATAAATAAATAAAAATAAATAAATTTATAAAAAAAATAAAAGAAGTTTTCACGTTCCAAATCTATTTTTGGCTATTTTTAAGTAACGGAACAGAAGAAGAACCATGATCCTAAAAGTTGACATTAGAACTTTGCTTCTATCTATCTATTTATTTTTGGCTCTGTTGGGTCTTCGTTGCTGCGGGCGGGCTTTCTCTAGTTGCGGCGAGCAGGGGCTACTCTTCGTTGCGGTGCGCGGGCTTCTCATCGCGGTGGCTTCTTTTGTTGTGGAGCACAGGCTCTAGGCACGCGGGCTTCAGTAGTTGTGGCTCACGGACTATAGAGTGAAGGCTCAGTAGTTGTGGCACATGGGCTTCGTTTCTCCTCGGCATGTGGGATCTTCCCAGACCAGGGCTCGAACCCGTGTCTCCTGCATTGGCAGGTAGATTTTTTTTTTCTTTTTCGGTACGTGGGCCTCTCATTGTTGTGGCCTCTCCTGTTGCGGAGCGCAGGCTCAGCGGCTCCGCGGCATGTGGGATCCTCCCGGACTGGGGCATGAACCCATG